CCAAAGGAGACTGGCTGTCAGCATCCCCCTCCCATGCCAGTGTCCCCTCTCAGGGCACTGTTTCCAGGACCCTGTCCTGCTCCTTGTCTGTGACTCCAGGAGTTTGCGACCAGCAGGTTGGAGATGCAAGGAGAAGAGGCATCAGGGAGCTGGGGACAACCTGTCCATGCCAGGGGACAAGAGAGGCTGTGTTGGGGACCATCCTGGTACTCACTGCTAATGCTGGTCTTGTTGAGAGCACTCCCCATGCCCCAGAGCACGGCTATGGCGTAGAGCAGAGGCGCCTGGAACAAGTGCCGGGGCTCTGGTGCCCAGCAGAAGAGAGTCACCAGGAGGGCGGCATGGATGAGGGCTCCGGCCAGCAGTGGGATCTGCCGCCGCAGGCGCAGCGTGCAGAGGGCCAGGCTGGAGCAGACCGAGGCAGAGAAGCCGTAGGCCATGAGGAGGTACGCCAACTTCTCCAGCCCCAGGGCACACACACCGTAATTCTGCAGCGAGGATAGGCTCAGTGTCGCCTGGCCAGGCTGTCCTTGCTCTGTCATCCCCCACCCTGTCCCCAGGCCCTACCAGGGAGAAGCCAGTGCAGACGAAGAGCACCTCGAAGCCGCTGTAGATGAATGAGGGGAAGAGGTGGCGCAGGCGGTAGTCCCGCATGTGCTTGAAGGGCAGCTGGAAGATGTTCCCCCAGCCAATGCTGCGCAGGTCGATCTCCTCCGTGGGCCGATATGCTGAGCCACAGAGCACCAGGACCTGCCACGTGGCCATGGGTGAGGCACCGCTGGCATCCCGGCCCTGTTCCCCTGCCCACCCCAGCACTCACCACCAGCATGGCGAGGAAGGCGGCTGCCATCAGGGCACTCTCCACAATGATTAGGTTGACGCTGCGGGGCAGGCTCTGTAGCACCGTCTTGTTGAAGCCAGGCAGCGTGCCGTGGCTCAAGGTCCCTGCCGGGGTGGCACATGCTGCAGATCAGCGCCAACCAGGCAGGTCCCTGTGCCACCATGCCATCCCGTGCCACCATGCCATCCCATACCACCATGCTGTCCCGCGCCTGTGCACTCACCGCAGTGCTTGACCCCGAAGAGCGTGTGGTTGAGCTGGTAGAGGTAGTTGTTGAGGAAGAAGAGCATGGGCATCTGAGCGCAGACGAAGCTCAGCTGAAAGACGTATAGCAGAGGGAGCTCAGCGCCAGGCTGCCCAGTGTGGCCTCCTGCCTGTGCCGCGCGCCCCACCGGCACTCACGTGAAAGCAGGCATAGAAGATGGTCTGGAAGACGATGATGTAGGCATTGCAGGCACCCCGTGGCGCCCGTTGCTGCTCCTGCACGTGCTCCTCCTTGTAGTTGACGTACTCGTAGTACTTCTGGGCCATCCTGTATGGGACAGAGGGTCAGCTGGCACCCTCCAGCCCCCCCATCCATCCCCTCCCGCTGCCTACCGTGTGATGTAGTTGCCCATGGAAGCCCAGAGGGGCACAATGGCCACCCCGATGGCCACGGCGGAGGGCACCAGTGTGTAGTAGCGCTCCCAGTAGTTGCTGGAGACGAAGAGGGCGTAGATCCCCACTGCCAGAAACATGGCCCACTTGGTGCCAAAAAACCTGCCGGGGCGAGGAGGAGGAAGTGTGGGTGCCCGTGCCAATGTGCCGGTGGGGAGCGCGAGTGGCGCCGTACCTGATGAGGACAGGTGTGTAGAGCAGTGCCGCAACGGGGGTGACGTTGATGCCCATCAGGACCTTGTGGTCAATGTCCTCTAGCTGTATGTTGCTGTACTTCACCTCCCGGTAGGTCTCATCGTAATGCAGGATCAGCTGCATCTGCAGCAGGCCTAGGGGGGGTCCCAGCACCCGTCACCCCCCTCCCCAAGCCCCCTGCACTGTGGCGAGGGGTCCCTGGGGAGGGGCAGGGCCATACCCAGGTAGACGCCATAAGTGAGCATGCCGGCCAGGCTGGCGGCCAGCACGTTCTTGACCACGCCGAGGCGCTTGCGGCGGAAATACTTCTGCTCCTCCTCCTCCTCGTTGTAGTCGGGGTTAGCACCCACAAAGTTGTCCAGCTGTGGGTGACCCTAGCTGTCACCCCTGGGGATGGTCACTGCAGGCCCGTCCCCCGTGGGTGCCCCCCCGGCCTCACCTGCGC